ACAGTTGTTTTTTTTTTTTTTTTTAATGGCAGAAGAATACTCCATTGTGTATATATACCATGAGTTCTTTACCCCGTGATTGGCACCTGGGCTGGTCTCATATCTTGGTCACTGTGGTCAGTGCCAGAATCATCATAGGTGAAAGTACAGTATCACTGTGGTGTGCTGACTTTAATTCCTTTAGTTATATACAAGAAGTGCTAATGAGAACCAAGACCTGTCATGTAAAGGTACAAGATCTCAGTAATGAATATAACTGTACTGTGTACCTAGAATATACCAATAAACTCAATAAAAAGAAAAAGAAAAAAAAAAGAAGTGCTAGAGCTGGACCAAATGGTGGCTCAATTTTTAGTTTTGTGAGCAATTTCCGTACTGATTTCCATAGTGGCTGTACTAATTTATATTCCCACCAGCAGTAGAGAATACCCCCACATCCTCACCAGCATTTATTGCTTTCTGTATTTTTTTTGTTTTTTGTTTTTTGTTTTTTTTTTTGAGTCAAGGTCTCACTCTGTAGATGAGACTGACCTGGATCTCACTATGTAGCCCAGGCTTGTCTTGAACTCGCAGGGATCCTCCTCCCTCAGCCTCCCAAGTGCTAGGATTACAGGTGTGCACCAACACGCCCGGCAAGTGTTTTCTGTATTCTTGATGAAAGCCATTCTGACTGAAATGAGGTGGAATCTCAGTGGAGTTTTGATTTGAATTTCCCTAATGGATAAAGATTTTTTTCATATACTTACTGGCCATTTGTACTTCTTTTGAGAATTGTCTGTTCAGTTATTTTGTCCATTTATTGATTGGACTATTTAATTTATTTTGGTATTAAGTTCTGTGAGTTCTTTATATGTTCAAGATACATAGTCTTTTGGAAGAGTAGCTAGCAAAGATTTTCTTCCATTCTATAGGCAGCCTCTTTGCTGTTGATAGTTTCCTTGGCTGTGCAAAATATATTTTTTAATTTCATATATTTCCATTTGTTGATTTTTTTCTAGTATTTCCTATTATGTTGGAGTCCTGTTCAGGAAGTCATTACCTGTGCCTGTGGCTTCAAGTGTTTCCTTCAGATTTTTTTTTTCCAGTTTCAAAGTCTCAGGTCTTATAGCTAGGTCTTTGATCTATCTTGAATTGATCTTTTGTACAGAATGAGAGTCAGGTATCCAGTTTCAGTCTTCTGAAAGTAGATACCCAACTTCCCCAGCACCATTTGTTAGAGTCTCTTTTCTGTAATTACTGTTTTGATCCTTTTTTCACAATAAGATGGCTGTGTAGGTGCATGGGCATATTTTTGTGTCCTCTATTCCATTCCAATTGTCTACATTTCTGTTTTTGTGCCAGCTTCTAGTTTATATTGTTTTAAAAATTTGAATAATTAATTTTATTGATAAATTTTAGATATACATAATGATCACATTCATCACAGGTGAATTTGTACCTGTTCATGATATGTCTTGATTCTTCTCTTTTCCCATTCTCCTTGCTTCCCTTCAACTCTTTTTCCCCTCCTTATTAACAAAAGCTTTGTTTCCATTTTTTCCTTCTGTTCTCCTTATTCCTTTCTCTTCCTTTCCTCCTCTCCCCTCCTTAGTTTCCCTCCCCAGTTGAACATTTTCTTTCTATTTCATAATGTCTAAAATATTTTGGTCTGGGTTTACCCTTTTGGTTTCTCACACTAGAGAAACAATGTGATATTTACATGTTTGTCCAATTTATTTCACTCGAGTATGGTCTCCAGGTGCATTCACCTAGAAATTTCTCAAGCTTATCCTTCTTTATGGATGACTAGTCCTCCACTGTATAAAAAACCCCACATCTTTATCCATTCATCTATTGATAGATATTTAGGCTTGTTCCAAGATTTAGCTATTATAAACCATGTCGCTATAAATGGCATATATATGGGTGTGCATATATTGCTATGGTATGTTGTTTTTAATTCTTTGGGAAGATACAAGAAAGGGAATAACTGGGTCAAATGGAACTTCTAGTTTCAGTAGTTTTAATTTTATGAGGACTCTCCACACTGGTTTACACAATGGTTTCACCAGTATACACTCCCACTATCAGTGGAAAAGTATTCCTTTTTCCTTGTGACACTGGCAGCATTTGTTATTGGTTGATTTCTTGATAATAGCCATTTTTCTGAAGTGAGGTAGAATCTCAGTATTCTTTTAATTTGCATCTCTCTAAAGACCAGTGATGTTGAACATTTTTTCATGTTTTTATTTGCCTTTTCTACTTCATCTGAGAAATGTCTATTCATTTTGGATGCCCATTTTTGGATTGGGTCTTTAAATTTGCAGAGACTGATTTTTTTTTTAGTCTTTAGATGCTCTAAATATTAGTTCTTTGTCTGAGGAACAGCAGGCAAAACAATTGTCCCACACTGTGGGTTGTCTCTTCACTTTGTTGGTGGTTTCTTTTGTTGTGCAAAAGCTTTTTAATAAGATGAGATGCCAGTTGTTGATTCTTTGTAATGTTTCCTGTCCTTTCAGGATTTTGTTCATGAAGTCTTTGCCTACGCCTATATCTTCAAGAGTTCTATCTTCCAGCAGATATAGTCTTTCCATCTTGATATTTAGATCTTTGATCCATTTCAATTTTAATTTAGTGTGTGGTGAGAGATATGGATCTAGTTTTAATCTTCAGCATGTGAAAAGCCAGTTTTTCCTGTACCATTTATTAAAGAGGCTTTTTCTTCGATGAAGGTGTTTGGCCCCTTTGTCAATGATGAGGTGGCTGAATGTGTTTGGAGTTGCTTCTGCATCTTCTAATCTGTTCTATTTATCCTTGGGTCTGTTTTTGTTTTGTTTTGTTTTAATCACAGTAGCTTTGTAGTATAATTTCCAGTCAGGGATTATGATGCCCCCTGCCCTGTCTTTGTTGCCCAAGATTGCTCTTGCTATTCTAGGTCTCTTCTGGTTCCAAATTAATTTTAGGATTGTTTTAACCCTGTAAGATGTGCTGTTGGTATTTTGATTGGGATTGCATTAAATCTATATAACAATTTTAGAAGTCATTTGCACTCTATTGGTTCTTCCTACACAAGAACAAGTGTTATCTTTCCGTGTCCTGATATCCTCTTTGATCTCCTTATTCAGAGTACTGTAGTTTTCAATGTAAAGGTCTTTTTACTTCCTTTGTGAGATTGATTCCTAAGTATTTAATATTTTGGGGGCGCAGTTATTGCTTGTGTCCAGATATTCGCCCATTGCCTTATGTGATAATAGAAGAGGCTTTGTCAGAGTTGGCTGGATCTATAGTGTGTGATGCTAGAATTGATTCATGGTTCAGTGCTAGGCTCAAGGGCATTATGATTAAGGATATGAGTGCTACCTGGCCTAAATAGCCTGGGTAAGATACAAGGGATAGAAAGAGCTATAGTCATCTCTTTTTGCTTTACTTCCTTCTGTCTGCCATGAAGTGTTTCTCCTCTGTGATGCCTGTTTGCCTTGGAGCCAGCTGATTATGGACTGAAACTTCTACAGACTGTGAGCTAAATAAAGCTTTCCTCATTTAACTCTGTGTATCTGGCATTTTGTCTCAACAATGAGAAAATTAACTAAGACAGAATTTGATACCAGAGAAGTGGGGTCTTTGTTGTGACTGTACCTGACCATGTAGTTTAGGAGCCTTTGAAGCTGGCTTGTAAGGGAAGAGTTAGGAGGGATTTGGAGATGCTGGTTGAAAAGGTGCGACTGGAATGCCTTAGGCTGTTCTGGATGGGAGATTCTGGTCAGAGTTCAGAAGATCAGAATGCTGATAGAAATTCTCCCAGTAAAGACCAGGCTCAAGAGCTTTATGCTGGAAAGAAGGGCTGCATTGGCTGTTGGACTCCAGGTAATGTGTGCAATGCCTTGGCAGAACATTTGTCTGCATTTTGTTTGTGTCTAGAGAATTTACCTAAGACCAATATTGGGACTAATCTGCAAGAAGTAATTGCAAGGCAGTCTATGCTGAGGTCCTGGAATGGCTGTTTTGGGCCTGATTTATGCTGAGAATTAAGAGCAAGGATCCCACAGGGATTTAGCTCAATGGTGCTGCCGCCACCTGCTTAGTGAGTGCAAGGTCCTGAGTTCGATCCCCAGAACAAAAATAAAGAAATAAATAAAGAAATAAAAATAGAGCAAAGAGCCCAGCAGAATGATTTGAAACATTTTGAGTTTGGCCATAAAGGAAGCTCTGTTAAAGTTGCAGCCTGAAAATATGGAACAGAAGAGAACAAAAGTCTAGCAAGAAAAAAAAATAATTTTAAAGAAGACAACAGAAAAGATGCCCTGGTGACAACACAAAGACCAACAGGATTTGACCCTTTGCAGCTTCAGAGTTGGACTGGGAAGAGAAGATTGGTCAGAAACCAGTCACATGCTTCCCTTTCCTGTAAATGAGGGGATTGAAATAGAATGTTTTCAGTGTCCAACTGAGCTGACACTGAAAGACTCCTCTGAAGTCCATTTCTACCCAGGTTAGTCAGGCTGGGTCAGGCAGACTTCCTTACCATTTTATGTCAACAATGTAAAGTGGCTGTAACATATTTCTATGATGCAATGTGAGGTCTCCCTCTTCTTCCTTATCTCTCAAAGACGGTTTCATCTCACTGGTGCAGACCATTTGAGGTCTACTGGCCAAACTAATGGCTGCTGCAATTTAAAACCAAATCACTGACCTGGTGATGACAAGGCCTTTGAGCAACCCAGCCCAGGGCATAATTGTTTGTTTTTCATTAAAAATGTTATCCAAATAGAAATATAATTATGTTATTTCTTCTATAGATCTATTTAAACTTTGCAATAGGAGATTATTCAAAAATTACATGAGAAAAATCATCCATCACCACTAAGTTAAAGACTTGAACATCAGAGAGTTCCAAAGCCTCAAACTCCTTATAGGCACTGATTCACGACATTTTCCTTGTGGCAATGGACTTCATGTGAAAGTAGCCTGGTCTTGTCTCATTGTGTTTCTACACCAGGAAATTGATTTCAAAAGATCGGGTGCTACTCATCACTGTCGCTGCCAGACTCACTCAACTGCAGGTCATTTCTGAGCGTGTTCATGAGCTGGTCGTTTCCTTGTGGCCAGCTGGTTCCATCAGCAATGGCAGGCCTGCTGTTGTAGGGCTGCTGGTGTGACAGCTGTGGAGGAGAGGCTGGGCCATTGTCCTCACTTCCACTGCTGGAGCTGTCATCATCAATTCCTGAGGAGCTCTCAGAGTCTAAGGAGCTGCTCCCATTGCTGCTGCTCATCTGCTCAATAATGTTAACTTCAGCCCTTGCCTCTCTTTTGATGTCATCCAGCTGAGGTTCGGGGGGGTTGTCCTTCAAGGGAGAAGATGGGTTCACCTGGAGGCTTCATTGGAGCTCTAAATGGCATGGGATATAGAGGTGGAGGTGATGACCTTGGGGGCCAAGTGGGCTGCTGCTCCATACAGGCCTGGATTTTACTGCTCCCCTCAGCTCTTGTCTTCTTGACCTGAATGCTGCTACTGAGTTTCTCTCAGTGTCATGACTAAGAATAAGCCCACAGTCTTTCTGATAAGGCCACTTGTTCCCCTTGAACACAGTCATTGGTGTGTGGCAGTGTAATTGTGACTTCATCTTGTTTGCCTACCTGAAGCTCTCCTTCACAAGAAGTGTCTAGAGGTGCTGGCTTAAAATCATAGTAAATGGTGTATAGTGAATCATAGAGACTGCTTCTTGAAACTCCCTCTGAGGTGCAGGAAGTGTTCCTCACAATCCAGCAGTGGGTTCACTGTCCCATTAATGGTCCCTTATTAGTGCTTTCCCCTTGTAGCCACAGGCCCAGCTCCTGCACTGATGTTCCAGAGGGAGCACACCTTGAGCCCAGGAGGGATCCACCAGGGGCTAGAAACAAGTCTCCTCCATTTCAGGGTGTGGGAAGACTCTGAGAGAGCTGTGTAACAGCTTTTAATATTGTCTTTTTTGTTGTTGTTGAAGTTCTGAAGCTTGACTGTTATATGCCTTGTTGTATTATTTTTTCTTTATCATAGCTAGTTGGAGTTCTATATGTCTCGCATTTCTGTATGTCAAATTCTTTGTCCATGCTTGGGGAGTTTTATGCCATTACTTCTGTGAACAGGTTTTTAATGTTGTTTGCGATATGTCCTGTTTCTTCATTGATTCCAGTCAATTTCATGTTATTCTTTGCATAATCTAGTAGCTATTGTATTGATTTTTTTGGTTCCTTGCTATTTTTAAGAAATCTTTCTTTTCATGATCACTAACTTGTCTTCTAGATCTGACATTCTGTCCTCACATTGGTTCATTCTACTGTGCATATATTTCAATAGAAGTTTTTAATCTCCTGATATTTGTTTGAATCTATTTCATGAATTCCATTTCTTTCCTATGTTGGACATTCATGGTTTCCATACTTTTTCTAAGCCCCTATTTTGTTTTAGCTGTATCTACTCTAGATTCACTAACCATGTACTTCATTATGGTTATCATCTCTATAGTTACCTGAGAAATTATTTCTGATTTGATTTTTTGTTCTAGAGCCTCACTGATCTGCTTTGTTACTTCCACTGTTACCATATCAGAGAGTCCAGGTGAGTGGCTTTCAAATTGTTCCACCTTATTGGCCCCTGGGTTTGCCTTGAGTGAGATGGAAGTGTAGGTTTGCATTTTGCTTTGGTGCCTTCTCCTTTTCTATTTTTTTAAGTTTAATTCCTGCATTAATGCTTATAAATTGTTTATGGTATGTAGCTTTATTATTAGTATCAAGAACCCTTAGGAAATGGCTCCTTCTCAGAGGTGTCTTCCAGCTGTAGCTGGTTTTTGGGTTTTGAGTATGTTGCAAGATCTTACTTCTTCAATTTATTGGGGATGAGAAGTTGCTGTCTCTTTGGCCTAGTCCCTGATTCTTTGGCACTGGCCTATAGTATTGTTTATGACTCTCGGGCAATCTCAGTCTTGGCATACAAAGAAAAATAAGTGATTAAAACAATTATGTCACCTTGGCTAAAGTAGGACTATCAGTAATAAGAATAGCATAAAAAAAAAGAATAGCATCAAACACAGGCTGGAAAATGACAAACTTTTGGTAACTATTAGTTTGCCACATCTTACCATATCAAAATATTTGTAGTTAGTTAAGAAATGTAAAGCAAACCAGAAAATTGCATGCAGTATAAATTTCCTCTCAATATGCTGATTTTACCATCAGAAGAGAATATTTAAAAAGGGATAGTGGAAAAAATAGAGAAATAGAAGAGAAAGTGATTAGAAGCAAGGCTGGATGACAAAGAAAAATTATGCAAAATTTGGGAACTGGTGAAAAAGACAGGAGAGATGGGAATTTAGCTCAGTAGTTCCACTGCCTGCCTCAGAAGCACAAGGCCCTGAGTTCAATCCCTGGTTAAAAAAAAAAAATCACAGGCACAAAAGAAAGAAGAAACAGAAAGAAGAATGGAATAAAACCACTACTACAACAAAATACTATAAACAATGTTCACAGTCATGTAAAAATAAGAACAAACAATTGAAAAAAAGAAAAAGAAAAAAAAAGAAAGAAAGAAGAAAAGAAGGAAAAATGTCCACTTTAGGGCATGCCTCTGCTTTCACTGGTAGACAAAGGAAACAGACAGAGCCCAGATCTGTGTTGATTGGTCCCAGCAAGCCAACAGTTGAATTATAGCAGGGTAGTGGATAATCTCAGCAAGCCTGTGCCCTTCATTCCATTGAAGTTCTGGCTACTTCCAGTTTCTGGTTGTCAGTCTGGCACCAGAAATGTTTAGCCCTCAACACTCTGAGTGCCTACTTCTACTTTCACTCAGCTCCCTGACCTCCTGTTGGCTTGAATTTGGCTGTGCCTCACCCTGACACTGAGAACGGCTAGATGGAGCCAACCTGCAGCTGCTCTGAGTTTTAAGTTCAGCTGGTCCCTTTCCAAAATGGAGACTGAATAACAAATTCTGATAGGGGTGCAAGGAAAAAGGAACCCTTCTCCACTGTGGGTAAGAATATAGGCTTGTGCAACCATTGTGGAAGTCAGTTTGCAGATTCCTCAAAAAATTAGGAGTAGAGGTTCCATTTGACCCAGTTATTCCCCTCTTGGTATCTCCCCCCAAATTAAAAATATCACACCTTAGTGATATATGCACACCCATGTTTATAGTAGCACAGTTCATAATAGCTTAATCTTGGAAACAGCCCAAAGTCCCATCAACTGATGAATGGATAATTTTTTAAATATATATACAATGGAGTTCTACTCTGCCATAAAAGGGGACAAGCTTGAGACCTTTTTAAGTAAATGGATGTACTTTGAGACCATACTCTTAAGTGAAATAAATTGGACACATGTAAATATTGCATTGATTTTCTGGTATGAGAAACTGAAAGGGTAAATAAGAACCAAAATGCATAATAGATATTGTGAAATAGGAAGAAAATATTCACATAGCAAGAAGCACTATGGAGGAGGGATGGGAGAAGGGAGAAAAGAAAAAGGGAAAAAACAAAAAAAGGAAGATAAAACGGAAACAAAGCTTTTGTAAATAAGGAATGGAAGAAAGGTTGAAGGAAGGGAAGGAGAATGGGAAAAAAGAAGAATAAGATACATTATGTAGGGCCAGGAATTTAGCTCAGTAGCACCATGCCTGCCTTGCAAGCACAGGGTCCTGAGTTCTATCCCTGGTACCAAAACAAACAAACAAACAAACAAAAAAGATATGTCATGTATAGGTACAAATTCCCTATGATGAATGTGATCATTATGTATATCTAAATTGTACCAATATATTTAATTAATTTAAAAAGTCAACTTACCAATTGCCCTTTCCTGGGGGTATCTGAACTGGGGTAACTCAATCAACACTGCAATTCACAGCACCCAATGCTTTGTTTTGGTGTGTTTCTCCACTGAGGCCTCTGAGGTCACCAAAGTCACTGTGCCTCTGAAGGTTTGAGCTGCCCCTCATATACTGAGAACTGAGGTGAAGGGAGAAAGTGTCACTTGCTACCTCCTTCTGCATTGAGGTCCTTCATTTTACAGTCCATGAGATACTTTCCTGGGTCCCATACATCCACTTCCCTCCTCTTCCTTTTATTGCCATATTCCAGTGTCTGGACTCCAAATCTCAGAAAGGCTGTTTCTGTGCTGCTTACTACTCTGCCTCCTCCTCCTCCTCCTCCTCCTCTTCCTCCTCCTCTTCTTCTTTCTCCTCCTCCTCCTCCTCCCCTTCCTTTTTCCCTTCCCCAGTCCCCCTGCTTCAGCCTATCATGGTGTTGGGATTACAGGTGTGCGTCACCATGCCTGGCTGTTATTGTTACTATGGCTTTGCTGTTTAATTGCAAATCAGGTATTGTGGTGCCTGCAGCCTTCCTCTTGCTGTTTAGAATTGCTATGGCTATTTTGGATCCTTTTTGTTTCTATATGAATTTTAGGATTGCTTTGCTAGTCTGTTTTTTGAGACAGGGTCTTGCTATGTAGTTCAGGCTGGCTGTGAATGTACCGTGTAGTCCAGACTTGCCTCAAACTCATGATGACCCTGTGTTGGCCTCCTGAGTGTTCTGATTACAGACATTCATCACCATGTCATGCATGTTTGGTTTTCTGTTTCTGTTTCTGTGAAGAATGTCATTGGTATTTTCATGGAGACCATGTTGAATCTGTAGGTCACTTTTGGTAATATGGCTGTTTTAAGAATATGGATTCTCACAATCCATGAACACAGGGAGGGGACCTTTCTATCTTCTGTTGTTTTCTTCCATTTCTTTCTTCAGTGTTCTGAAATTTTCATTGGAGCAGTCTTATACCTCCTTGGTTATATTGATCTGTAGGTTTTTTTTTTTTTTGAAGCTATGAATGAAATTGCTTTCCTGATTTCTTTCTCTGCTAGTCCATTATTAGTGTGTAGAAAAGCTATTGGTTTTTTAATGTTATTTTGGTTGTTTTGTTTTGAGACTAAGTCATGATATGTAGTTCTGGCTGGCTTTGAACTCACTGTATATATAGCCCAAGCTACCCTCAAATTTGCAGCAATCTTCCCTCCTCAGCCTCTTGGGTGCTGGAATTACAGGCACTCATCATGACTCCAGGCTTTGATGTTGATTTTGTATTTTGCTACTTTGCTGAATTCATTTATCAGTTCTAAAAGGTTTTTATTTATTTATTTATTTATTTTGGAGTCTTTAGGGTCTTCCAAGTATAGGCTCTACAAACAAATTTATTTTACTTATTTGCTTCCTATTTGTATCCCTTTTGTTTCTTTCTGCCTAATTGCTTTAGCTGGAATTTCAAAAGCTACATTGAATAGGAGTGGTAGGGATTGACGTTCTTGCCTTATTCCTGATTTTGGAGGAAAGGCTTTCAGTAGTTCTCCATTCAGAAAGAGGTTGTCTGTGGATTTGTCACATATGGAGGAAAGACCCTTCAATACCTAGTTTCTTCGGGGTTTCTATCCTGAAGCAGTGCTGAATTTCTCTGAAGGCCTTTGTGTGTCAATCGAAAGGAATGTGTGAATCTTGTCTTTATGGGTTATTGATTTGCATGTATTGAACCATCCTTGCATCCCTGTAATAAAACCAATCTAATTGTGGTGTGTGACTTTTTTAATGTGTTGTTCAATTCAGTTTGAAAGTATTAATAAAATAAAGGATTTTTGTATCTATGTTCATCAAGGGAACTGGTCTATAGCTTTCTCTTTTTTTTGGTCGTTATCTGATTAAAGTAGAGTGAATTTGTAAATATTCTTTTCCTTCCTATTTCATGGAATAATTTGAGGAATACTGGTGTTACCAATT